AAAAGCAAATTTTTGTAATTTATTGCAGCGACCTAAAACAATTTGAATTTTATCATAGTGTGCATGTTTCTAGACCAATAAAAGCTCAATAAACTATTAAGATATACATAAGTGGATTTCGGAGTAGCCACCCACCTCATCAACCTCCTGGAGCAGATGTGGTAGCGGCGCAGCGTGACGTCGGCCACCTCGGCCACCACCGGCTCCAGCAGCTGCTCCGGCAGCGTCTCCGTGATGACACACATGATGTTCTGCAGGCTGGCGCTCAGCCTGAAGCGCAGAAACGGCCGCTGTTAGAAAGCCTTCATCGGACAGCGTGGCTCACTGCACAACGGCGCTTCATCCGCAGACGGCACAGCCGTGGGCTAGATAAATACCCGGACGTTGAGGAAGTGAAATGATATTTTGTTCCACTTCAACCCTCTATACAAGCTTAGTCGAAGGAATGTGCATTCCGGTCAATGAAAGATACAATAAAATAACTAAAATAAACGATACAATAATTTATCGAGGCACTTAAAACGGAACACATAACGCAGCAGTAAATGTGCCTGGTTCCCGTCCACCGACCCGCCCCGTCTGGCTCACTCACATGAACATCTGGTCGACGAGCCGCAGTGTCTGATTGCCGCAGGTCTGGTGTGACTTGTTGATCTCGTCCACCATCAGGTGCAGATGGATGGCCTCGTACAGAGAGCTCCGGTACAGCTCCAGCAGCGCGTGCTGACGCTGTACAGAATGGGGGGGCGAGCCCGGTCAGATCAGCAGAGAAAGAAATTTGGAGGGCGATAGAGTAGTGTTACTCAGCATACCTATGCAGGTACAGCGCTTCTCCAGCAATGAGTATTGAGTAATTCGTCTATAAATTAAATGTAAAAGCTACATTTCGAGCTCCACCCAGCGTCATAAGCGCCTGTCGCTGTTCTCTGCTGTATAAGGCGGCGCTTGCAAATGTGTCGTGACGCGCTACATTGAGTACGGCGGGTCCATCTAATATCCGAGTCCAATGTATGACCGTGGGTGTGGCCGGCTCAAGTCTAGTCACGGCCTCAGTCTGCCCTCGACTGACCGGGTGGTCATCGATACTGAGAGCTCACGCTTGCGTAACTCGGACTCCCGACAGCGGCATGGCTCATGAGGCGCCGCCCCCGCCTTCTCCCCATGTCCAAAGGGGTGGGGTGGGGGATATGAATGCCGACCTGTGCCCTGTCTGTATCCCATCATGCAGTGTGGGTGTGTGGGACCGGCGACCGCCCGAGTGCAAAGTAAAGTAATCTTGTAAAGGAGCTATGCATCTATATCTAATAGCACAATTGGCCTGGACGCCGACCGCGTGGTGCTAGCCTCTCATGTGTCGTTGCACTCACCGGGAGGCCCGACAGGGAGAGCGGTGGCACGCGCTGGCTGCCCAGCTGCGGTAGACCGCTGCAGTCGGGTACGGCCTGCAAAACACACATACAGGGCAACTGTGAATGGCTAAATGCTGATGGTGGTGCACGGTCATCAATGGAACATAAAACAACCGGCTGTAACTTATGAAAAGTAAATGTTCATATATATGCATTAAAAGAAACGGCAATACACCGCGGGTATGTAAGAAAACATTCAAGTTAACAAACAGTATATGTTACATTTAACAAGCTTAAATTAAAAAATAACATGATTATTACATAACACCTTCCGTACAAGTTTCTTTTTGTCCAGACAGCTGAGTACCGGAATGCCTTAGACGAAAGACTTTCGCGGGTGCTCAATGGCGATAAACGGCCGCTCTTCGACTAAGCAGATCCAGGCCCCAGAAAAGAATGCAATGTTTTGCTCCCTATGAGCGTTCCATTGTTTATAATTCGGCTTTTCCGATCCCTCTTACCAATTATCAGGACAGACTTCGACTTCTCAAAACCCAATCGCTTTGGGCCGAGCGGTCACCATAATCTGACGTGAGTAGCTCTTATCAGAGCAAATCAAATGCGTTAACCCTCGCCGGCAATACACCATTTTGCGTCCTTCGACGGCACAAGGGGGGGGTACGACCCCCCCTTGAGTTTGGCCCCTGATCAAGCTAGAGCTTTGCGGAAAAAACGAGCGTGTTGCCCGTGACGAGAGGAAGCCAATGATACCCAATTTTAAGGTCCTAGGTCATTGGTTGACCTTTCAGGTCAGGTCAATGACCCAAACATCGGGAAAATCGGGACCTGTTAGAACGTCGTAAAGTGTGGTTGGCGTACCGCAAACTCTCGCAGCTGGCTGGCCAGGGTGCTGGCGCGGTGCAGCTCGATGGCCAGCTCCTCGGCTCGCTGCTGCTCAGCGGGCAGGTGCTGACGGGACGGAGGAGAGCGGACGCGCGGCAGCAGCGCGCCCGTCAGCGACACCTGGCACGGGTTCAGCAGCCGCGACAGGAAGGCCAGCTCGCTGACCAGCACCAGCTCCTCGCCGGCCATATCGACTGGTGGAGGGGGCAGCAGCAGCTCGCGGCGGCTGGCCGGCAGTGCCGCGCATAACACTGCTGCAAGAAGGGGGGAGGTGTCAGTGACACAGCGCAGAGCGCCGCTGTCAGAATTGAGGGAGGTGTAAGAATGTAGCGCCGCGTACAACACCGCTGTCACGAGGGATGTGTCAGATCCGCTGCTAGGAGGGAGCTTCTTATCGTGGTTCATAAGTCATGTGTCAGTGGACGATTGCACGATATAGAACTGAATCCGCTACAGCGCTCTAGACATCTTTTTAATGTTGTGAATGTGACCAACGTGTCGTCGCTGTTACCAATAGAAAATATTTTCCGTTTAAGAACTTAAGAGTGCCACCCTCATATTTTCGACTGCTGTCATAGCTATACTGTTAATTAATTCAATTACTTAATTCAGTTACAGCTATTAAAGGTAGTGTGCCAGCTTTCCTGGACCGTATGGAGTTAATGGCCCACATAAGGAGAACCGGATTTTTAGAACTTATCCATACCTTCAAAACTCATGGAAACGTCTTAAATTCTTCAAATTTTGAGTACCCCAGTGCGAAATTCGCCCCGACGGGTTGTCGGTCGTACCCCAACCACATTTCACACCACTATGAACAATAAATGCACACACTGAAATCGCTATTACCGATATGCTCATCCAATCAAGTTTCGATAAACCCGTTCATCATCATCTCCTGCGGTTTCGAACACGCCTGTTAGGTGGTGCGGTAGACCGCGCCCAAAGCCAGGGCCCCGGTAACGTGAGGTAGCCGAGTCGGGGCAGCGTGCGCTGACCCAAGCCGGGGCCGCGCGTCCTCCCGGTGTCATGTGATAGCCCGGGGCTGCCCGCGGGGATGCGGTAGACCGCGCCCAAAGCTGCGGCCCCGGCTTGGGTCAGCGCACGCTGCCCCGACTCAGCTACCTCACGTTACCGGGGCCCTGGCTTTGGGCGCGGCTTCTGCTCATACTTTGTGGTGCGGTGGTGGTGCGTCGGGCCGCGCGCTCTGACTTCGGCCAAGAAAAATGCGTCAGCTGATCATTGTCATTTCTGCCACTTGCGTGTGGTGAAATGGGGTCATAACTAAGAGACGGCTTTTTCATATCAATTATTTTACATAAAATCATATTTCAAACCATAAATAATGTTCGACAGCCAAATAAAAGAAACAATACCAATACAGGCTTACAGTTTAAGGCTCGACATTGTGTTGTCTACGATTAGACAGCTGATAACTCATTCCCGTACCTACGTCGTAACTCTATAATGACCTTTGCTTATTGTCACATGTGCGCCGCATTCGCGATTGTTGCCGACGCCTGTTTGCAGCTCAGCCCACTACAGTTGTTATACATATCGAAAAACCGATAAACTTTTAGGCGAAAAAGGCACTATTCCAGGCCCATTTTTGATTTTCTTTGCGATATTAGGTAAAAACAGAAGCTTCTTATCCTAGGAAAAATAAAATGGGAAATCTTTCAAAGGTGGCACACTACCTTTAAATTGTAACACTGGTCACTGGACCCAATCGGATGCGCCAAGGCTGTTTTTCGCATCCCGGAGGAAGGGGCCGTCGCCAAACTGTACCGACTGCCGGCAGACTGTGCCGCCCGGCAGTAGTGCAATGCGGCACAGTCTACCCTACACCGCAGCGACAAACTTATGCCGGCAGCCCATGTTAAAGAGGCTAAGGACACTTGCAACGACCTGCATAGATGGGAGTGGAATACTATTCGTCAGCCAGATTAGCGGCGGAACACCTTCAATCAATCAATGCCGACTTTTGGTCCCATTCTTTCCATGCAACGCCCATAGGGCTAATGCTAAAATGCCAAAATCAAAGGGGGGCACGGTGCCTCGGTGCCCTCCCCGTTCCGCCGCCTATGTCATCAGCATTCAGCAACATTTCTTTGCAATCCCATACAAGTGTTAAGTCATGCAAACGTTATTTTATTTTGTCACATCACATACGATTTTGAATGTAAAGCCAAAGCAGTCGGCTGCCTATGGTCATTCGGGGAATTTGAAGTAACATGTATATTGTATATGTAAAAATGTCCACATTTTTAGGCTATTTGGAGAATTTCAAGTAACATGTACAGGTAGTAAAAATGTACACATGGTCATTGACGAGGGGCGAATAAAGTGTCATTATTGCCCAAACATCGCCTTCCAAAGTCACGTTATTGTACGCAGTTCTTAGATATATTGCTATGAACGTTTTGTGAGCTTTCAGCTATAAGTTTTGGGCTTCACTCGTTCCTAGGCAAGGGTTCCGCCACCCACCGGGGTAGGGGGCATGTCCCCCCCCCCAACCAAAATGTTGGGGGACATACTATCTTTTGTGCCCCCAAAACTCGGCTCTGCTGCAGGCAAGATTCTTACAGATAGAATAGAAGAGGCTGCAGGTAGATAAACCGAATATTCTTTCTGACACCGAAAACAGAACATGGTACAAAGATTCGGAACCCTTGTTCCTAGAGGGCATTCATAAAAAAATATTGTTAGTGATCACTTCTGCACAATGTAATCCATAGCTTGCAGAAATTGTGAAACTAAACGTGTGCACTGTGAACGAAGACTTCAAAACAACGCTAATATCAACGACAGTGCAAGCCCGGCATAAGTTTGTCGCTGTGGTGTAGGGTAGACTGTGCCGCATTACACTATTGCCGGGCAGCACAGTCTACCGGCAGTCGGTACAGTTTGGCGACGGCCGGGACGCGACAAACAGCCTTGGCGCATCCTATCGTGTCCAGGGCTCAACTTCTTTTGGCTGGATTTTTTTCGGAGGCATTGATCAAGCCTGAAAAGGGTTTTTGAAACACTTGCAAAGACTTTCAAAGGAGCCAATCAAAATGCTTTCTTTAAAAATTTGCATATCTAGCTTTGATATTCGATACTCTTATAGTTACTTTACATCACAGGTGGAGTAACTATGATAAGAAATATGATATCGCATAGCATCTCAATTCCTTTTAGTCAATATTCAACGTATAGTCAATTCCTATACATATAGTCATATAGTCAATCAAACATATAGTCAATATATAGTCAATTCCTTTTACTCAATTCAATTCCTTTCCTCAATTCCCCTATTTGTCGTGTCCTCTAACACCGTTTTCATGATAACCTGTAATGTGACGACTAACGAACTTTATAACCTTTGAGCCATGTGAAGATTTTGCTACGTTGGGACACTGAACTGATATAGTTGGGCTCAGGAAATAATGCTATGTATAGAAACCAATAACTCCTGCTTTGTGGAAAGCTGCCGGTAATATGATTTGAGAAGCCTACGACAGCTTTAGGAGATATTGGCATGTTTCTGGCGAGGAGTCAGCTTTAGATGCCCGGGATTTGGCCTGAGATATAAAAGTACAAGATGCAAATGGAAAAAGCTTACCGTTACTCCTATAGCAAAGCAGTAGCGGCGGAACACCTTCAATTAAGGGGGGGGCACTGCCGACTTTTGGTCCCATTCTTTCCATGCAACGCCAATAGGGCCAATGTTAAAATGCCAAAATCAAGGTGGGGCACGATGTTCCCCCGTTCCGTCGCCTATGTCGCAAAGCATATTTAGCTTCTGTAGCCACGACAGATGTAGTCAGTTGTTCTATTCTTTATGTATCTGGAGTGATCTGCGTCACAAATTCATATTTTCATTTAAATGTTTCAACTCAGTGCTTCTTTTTCACACTTACCATTCATGCAAATTACTGAACCCAGAACCAACAGGGCAAAATGACCACCTACTGTCATTATCGTCCCTTCACGGCACTGGCAACAGTTCACTAACCACGGCCTACCTAAATCTCCTCAGAGAAGGGCTCATATGCTGGCTCATGGGTCGAAAGGAGAGCGCCGGCAGCAGAGCGTCGGCGGCGGACCATACCTGGGAGGCAGAGTGCCAGCGCGGCGACGGCAGTGGTGCTCGAGCAGCTTCGGGCAGCCATCACAGAGCCGGGAGTACGTGTGTGCAACTGTCGCGCCGCCGAGACAGGGTGTCCGACGGCCGGAGTCGGCCGTCTTTATAGTCTGTCAGCGTCGGCGACCACCCACCGGCGGCGCACGGTCCGGTCACCGGCTCACCTGGTCATACCGACGGCAGTCCGCCTGCGCAGCCGCTGCTCCTCGACACCGCAGCGGCCAGAAGGTGCCCGACCGCGACACCGTCCACCGTCTGCCGACCCGGCGCGGCGGCCGCCCACCGCCGCCGAGCGCCCAGCTCTGTCACACCGAATGACAACTCCAAATGCAGTGAATGAACGCGAACGATGGGTTCCCGGAAAGGTCAGATCGGTGGCCGACTGCCACTATGGGTGTGGTGACTCGTCTGACTACGGATGAGCCCCCCAGACCAGAAGACGGAAGTGGGAATGGACTGTGAACTTTGGACGATCGTGGTGACCTTATGAGCTCGCCTCCGAGATCTCCGTCCGCCATTTTCATATCCTCCTTTCGTGGGAAGGAGATCACATGCAAAATACAGACAGATATTATCTGGTATGCATGCATTTCTATTATTCATTTTGCCATCTAAGGTCTTTACTTGCTCCTTTATCTTTTACGTAATTCGAAAAGGCATTACCATAAACGAGATGGAGTGACCGAAAGAGTCGATGGGGGGGGGGGGGGGGGATGGTCGGTGCTGAGGCACACGCAGACGGATCAGCCCCATTCATCGAAGGCTGCACTTCTCTGATTGGAATATACCTCTCTGCAGTACCTCTCTGCTTCTCTGATTGGGATATATCACCTGAGAGAGCAGCTATGCCCCGCTGACAATGCTTACAAGCAACGCGACTGCCCAGTTGGAGCCCCTTTTCTGTACCAAAGAGGACTTTTAGGCTAAATGGGGATAAATCTGTGGACATTGACTCAGTATCGCGAAGCCGCGGCCCGTATTGGTCTCCCACAATGTCCGATCTATCCGTGAAAACTAGCGAGAGTGCCTGCAACATGTTAGGCACTGGTCAGGTCAGGAAACCGATCGGTATCTGTCATGCAGTATGCCATTCAATTCAGATACTATAGGGTGCGTCAGTCAATAGTTTTGATACCTTACAAATCGTCCTCCTTTCAGTAAAGATAATGCAATAGATTCATTGCAACGGTCAATCCATGAAGCTGGGTACAGCGTGAGACACCAGCAGGTATGCTAGGCACAAAGTTATGGAGATGCTAAGGGCTGATATTTGCCCAGGTCCACCTAAGCGCCTTTTCGAGCTGTCCCGGGTCGCTGGGTGGTCCAGTCTCGTCAAGCTCCTGATGCACTACTCTTTGAGGTAATGTGATTAGATTTAGGTTAGAGATGTTCCATAGCCATGTGTCGTTCGCCAAGATATCGGATAGGTGCTCTTGGCGCCACCTTTAAGTTCTGGCAGACCGATGAGCAGGAGCACCGTCCTGCATGAAAAGGCTGGCTGGCCTGATTTTCCGTTAATTTTGCTCCTACACGAGTTTTATGGGCCTTGAATACGAGTGTCCCTCCAACACTGATGGAAAATTGTCCCAGACACTGGATGATTCTATTAACCCTCGCCGGCACAAGGGGGGGGGTTGATGCAACCCCCCTTAGGTTTTTCGCGAATAACTCGCGTAAAAAGCAGCCGATCGCGACGGAACTTTAGTACCTCGCATTAATCAATTTTACACCTACCCTGAAAATTTCATGACCCTGACCCAAATGACCTTTGACCTGTGACCTACTTTCCGAGACCATGTTTGGCTGGAATCGCGATTCGGCGTATGTCGGCTCGCATTAACCGCGCGTTTGCAAGCTTTTCGTGGTTTCAAACGTTCAAACATGTGAGTTGATGTTGCTCCCATACATTAGGGTGGATGTCAAGGTCACCTGAGGGTCAGGTCAGGTCATTGACCTTTGGTGACCTCGGTTCACTTCTTCGAGTTTTACATGTTTCTAGGCTAGTTTTTGGAGCTGATTTAGAATTTAGCAACCTTTTGAACAATTACGAAGTAGTTTTGGTGCCTTCGTAACATGTTACGAAGCTGTCAGAGGCGGTTGACACGTATTACGAATACCCGTCACGACCCCTACCGGTTGACCTGACCTGACCTGACCCGATCTGGTCTAAATGCTTACCTAAAGACATCATCTCTGATCAAAACCTACACGATATTCGTGATCGGCACCTCGGAAAACCCCACAGCAGCCACACTTTACAACTTTCTAACAGGTCCCGATTTTCCCGATTTTCGGGTCATTGACCTGACCTGGAAGGTCACCCGATGACCTAGGACCCTAAAATCTGATTGACAGTAGCAGATGCACCTTGACCAGAGTCGCGTGTCACCTCCAGGCTGGAGAGGTTAAGAAATTGGCATAAACTTATAAGGTGGCCTGATAGAAAAAATCGTGATATAGGTAGGTATACAGGTTGCAAGTATTTACTTATGGCATCATTACATCCTGTAACTTTCAATGGGCTCTGTCATCTACTAAGTTGTGGCTCTGACACGGTTGCAAACTTGCAAAGAAGTAATTTGAGGTCGGGCCATTTAAAGTGACCTGGTCACTGGTGGCCCGACCTTGGAAGATAGCAGGCCATAGCCCATAACTTACACACAACGCATAAAATTGATGAGGAAACAGTTATGTCCTTTTTCGCGCCGGGGGCAGTGTTTCCGCTATTCACGAAAAACGTCGGGGGGGGGGGGGAGGGGCGGATCAACCCCTCGGGGCTTGAGTTGATTTCTAGGAGGCTAAGATTACCTCAACTGGCGATTTTTCGTCAGCAAGACTAGCCTCTTTTCGGCCAGTTTCAGGCTTCAAAACGTCTAATCCATAGGCGTAGGAACAGGGGGGGGGCCGGGGGGGGGCATGCCCCCCCCACTTTCGGAGGTGGGGGGGCCAGCAATGTTAACTGCCCCCCCCCCCCCCACTTTTTGCTGACTTAAGTGTCTGTCTGTACCTAACCTACCACCCGGTAACTTGACAACTATTCAGCTTGCCCTTTAATGAGGATTCCTTTTAGTTTCTACAGCGTTATTGACCGCAATTTCCTTCACTCAATGAAGGAAACCATATCAGAGACAAGACTGTGAGTCCTGGTGACAGCATTTTGTTGAATACGAGGCGCGGGACAGCCAGCACTAAAAAGGTATAGGCAATACTAAGACAATACTAGCACGGTGCAGGAGAATGCGTATACAAACGACCAACGCTTGACCTTATCTGCTTGGGGTAGTGTCTTGAACTCGTTGACTGTTGTGGCAGACACAACTTGTGGCGGGATACTAACCTGAACCTCGATTCGTAGATAAACACCGAAATTGAAATGATCGTAACCGTACGAACTCAGGTCGCAACTTGCTCGCAACGATGACAAGTCCGACAAGTCCAAGGCCGACAAGTCAAAATCCAAACCAAAATATTTCAACAGATTGCTCTCTGCAGGCTGCAGCTGTGCGACTTGTGTGCGACTAAAACAAAATGAAACTGATCAACCAAGGCTGATCAACAATAAATGTCACCTTTTGGTCTTGCCTAGAAAAACTAATGTAGTCTGCTTTATGATAAATGCCGGTTGATATGTTTGACGAGCCTATCGGTTGATATGTTTTAATATTTTAGTTTTACCTAACAGTTTACTTTCATGTTAAATTTTCATTCACATTGTCAGAAAAAATTAATAAATCAATTTACATACCTACTATCAACGAAAAAAATCACACTATATATCTATTTGAGTTCAAATGCAATTGTTCACAAATGTTCCTGGTTCTGAGCGATGACTATCATTTGGTATTGACTAGCAAATTAAAAAAAAGCAGAGGGAGGGTCCCTTTAATGCATAGCATCTGCTTTTTTTTAATTTGCTAGTCAATACCAAATGATAGTCATCGCTCAGAACCAGGAACATTTGTGAACAATTGCATTTGAACTCAAATAGATATATAGTGTGATTTTTTTCGTTGATAGTAGGTATGTAAATTGATTTATTAATTTTTTTCTGACAATGTGAATGAAAATTTAACATGAAAGTAAACTGTTAGGTAAAACTAAAATATTAAAACATATCAACCGATAGGCTCGTCAAACATATCAACCGGCATTTATCATAAAGCAGACTACATTAGTTTTTCTAGGCAAGACCAAAAGGTGACATTTATTGTTGATCAGCCTTGGTTGATCAGTTTCATTTTGTTTTAGTCGCACACAAGTCGCACAGCTGCAGCCTGCAGAGAGCAATCTGTTGAAATATTTTGGTTTGGATTTTGACTTGTCGGCCTTGGACTTGTCGGACTTGTCATCGTTGCGAGCAAGTTGCGACCTGAGTTCGTACGGTTACGATCATTTCAATTTCGGTGTTTATCTACGAATCGAGGTTCAGGTTAGTATCCCGCCACAAGTTGTGTCTGCCACAACAGTCAACGAGTTCAAGACACTACTTGATAAGCACTGGAGAGGCATCATGTTCGACACTCCCTACCCTGAAGAGCCTAGATCGACCGTTCCGTGCTTCTATCCTCAGGATACTGAAATCCTTCTCCTCCACGCCGCAACCCCCCTCCGGCCTGGACAGGCAACTTTATCTCATGCGGGCTGCTCCCTTGGAGCGGCACCGCTGCTCCTGAGGGAGCGCACCCCGTAGCCGGGTGCAGTGACAGTGAGTGCCTTGGGGCTGGGTGGCCTGTCCTCTGGACGGGCTCAGCCCCGGCGACTCATTAGGGTGCCTGCCCAGACCAATGTCTCCCCCTAATTCCTATCATCCTTCCGGCTCTGCAATGGTCTTGTCAGACCGAAAGGGCCTAACCCAACAAAACAAACAGAGCCTAGATACTCCCAAACCTTGAGCTGAGCTTGAATCCTTGATGAGAACGGGATCTCCAGGCAAAGTAGCCTTTTTTCCCAACTACCAACAAGGTTGAGGTAAGGTAAGGTACCTAAGTAGTATGAATTGTGATTTGTCGCCCATTGCTTTGGGTCATGGGTCACTGGGTGTCATTCTTTTCTCATTTCAGTTTTCAACCTATCACCCAATGAAAAGCCAAATTAAAATCAGCTATTGATTAGGCATACCCAAGGCTGGCATACCTACCCAATCTCAGTTTACAACAATGTTTGTCCTTACCATTATCTATCGCATGTCAGTCAGACATGTTGTGTTATCTGCACTCCATTTATCCAAATGTTAGGTACCTATCATTTGTATTTTATGAAATGTTGCTCAGAAAATGGAAATGATATATTCTAAAAATGGAAATGATATATTTCCATTTTGAAAACCAAAATGCACAGCAACCTGTTTGACAATAGGTGCACTAAGCCGCTCAATTGTGCATGAAATGAAGGCAACCAATCAAAAGACCACATTTCATTTAGTTGAACAGGAAAATTGGCTGTTGAACAGGTTTGTACTGGACAGCTGTTTTTCAGGCTTGATGTAAACAAAGCGAGGCTCTTCCAGACGGTACCTATCATTGCATTTGTAATGAACCATGCCACATATATGATGTAAAATTGACCAACCATTAGAAAAGCTGATCCTTGTCATCCATATTTTCAGTTGGATATTCATCATTTTGCTAACATTTCTGAAAAATAAACCTTGAAGAGTGTATGGGTGGCAATTAGGGTCCAAAACATCTCATCTCTTTTGTTTTGAATGGTGGTGTGTTGGCAATTTTCCTGCATTTGCTTTCTAAGTGGGCAAACTGCCTTCCTTATTGCTTCATTTACTTCTGTATGCATGAAAGAAGGTGAAATTTGTACAAATAATTGTATGAAAAGCTTGATATGCTAACATATTGATATGTAACTTGATGTGTTACTGCTTGTCCCATGCTGGCTTTGTGGCTGAGCTCTATATCTAAACTAAAGTCATAGGGCTAGGGCTATATGCCAAGCTACTGAGCCTTATAGCATGTATGTCTTAGTTTTCCACAAGGATCACCTGAAGTCAGACCATCTCCATGTGGTCTTCCTATAAACATCAATGGGAGACATGAGGAAACTATTTATTTAGAGCTGAATATAATATAGGTATATCTTATCTCAAGGCTCAAGCACTTGGGAATATAGATGTAGATAACATCTGAAGCTAGATCTTACATCTTGGACCTTGTTTGGTGTACATGGTATCACTAGGGTCATTTTAGTCATCATAGTCTTTGTTTTGGTGTCAATAAGTCTTAATCAATGTGAGCTAGGGAATTGGACAGGCACCAATGAGCTCAGAATGAACTGTTGATTCAAATCATGTGAAGCTAACTTCCCTTGACACTTGACAGCTGACCAACTTTTTAATCTGACTGTGGTTGACCTGAACTTGATTTGAGGTGAGAATAATATCCAAACTAAGTTTTCCCAGTATGCTGTATGTACCTATATCATTTGATATGGCTGATGTCTGAACAAATGTTTTGGTGCCAAAATAACTAGTTAGTTGCTTGGGGCAATTTTCTCAAGTTTTTTTTGGTCAAAAACCCGACCTCGATATTTAGGATATTGACCTAACCTCAAGAGACTCGAAAGGTCAGTGGGTGACCTTATTTATTAGGGTGCGTTTCATCCTGTTTCATCCAGGACGTTTCGCGTCAGCCAGCATTTTTCCCTGAACCTCTAGCCCAATTAGATATTAAACGGCGAGGGAGATCGTACCCATCGGCCATCGCCTCTCGCGCAGGGCACATGTAGAAAACTGACAGGTCCGGCGAGGGTCCGGGCTGACCAACACTCCACCGTGACTAGAGGCTTGTGAAGACGATTTTTTAACGATTGGAGAAATTCTGCAAGTGCCGGCCAGCCGAAGCGGCCCGGCACTGTTTGATATTTGAGAACCAATAGCGACATAAATAACGAATACACATGGGGCTTGAAGGCGCATTCGGCCGGCTATGCTCTCCAGTGACCTCAAAGCTGCTTAGATAACCTGATCAGTGCCCTAGAATGAAACAGTTTTGCTATGCATCCAATCTTATAGTGTCTAGATAGAAATCTGCCTAGACAATAAAAATATAACCACAACATAATAACACAACATAACAAAATTCCATAGCAAACTAGCTCTGTGGTGTCGGGTTGCGGTGTGAGATGAAACTATCGTTAAGTTGCATGTATATTGCCAGGTACTAAGCAGGCAGACATGTCTAAAACAAAGTAACTTTGAAAACATTGACTGGACTGTGGTCATGTCGATTGTTCGTCGGCCGTCATATATATCACGGCTGTGCTACCGCGGCCGGTGGGTTTCTCGGCCGGTATTTAGGCGTCACCGCCCGCATCGCACGGGCCGCGATGACGTAACGCCTCGCCGGGAACCCGGCCGGCCGGCTGACGCAACTTAGACGAGCCGTTCCGGTCGCGGTAGGGCGGGCTGATAGCCGCCCGCCGACCGGCCGCTGCAGTCGCGGGTACCGGCAGCGGGTTGAGCGGCGGTGACGCTCCTTCCTCTGAGACGGACTGTGTGTCTGTCGATATACGTGTCACTCTGTGACAGGCGGAGAGACGCTTTGTGACGCCCGGGACGTGACACGTGGCAGTGTGTGAAGGAACCCTTTGGGCGACTGACAGACACCGGCCTCGCCTGTGACAGTTGGCGGACACCTGTGACAGTGGATCTTATGAGCTGACAGTTCGCCAAAGGTCGCTCCCTCACACCCCGACCGGCGGCCAGTGCTGTGAGTCGTGAGATGGTGACCAGTGGTGCTGGTGATCGCAGGTGGACCGGCAGAATGCCTCTGCCGGGCTCGCCGGCTCTGGTGCTGGGGCTGGTACTGGTCGGGGCTGCGCTGGTGGCCGGACAGCTGAGCTTCCCTCAGGGGGCTTCGGCCGAACAGAAACAGGCCAGAGACCGCTGTTTTTGTCAGGTGAGTCGGCGACCGATCCGTACCTGTGGGTCTCCGAGAAATAGCCTGCGCCGATTAAATGGGCGTGTATGTGTGGTGCGTAAGGAGGGGTTGACGACACGGGGGTTTCACGGGCTCCTGCGGAATCCAGAGTAAGGCCGGGTACTGGATAACTAAGGGATGACGTTTTCTACCGGGTCACGATAATAAGGAGATGTGTGTATTTTGAGTGCTGGTGACTGTACCGGTTGGTGTATCCGGCATGTTCCCAGGTCCTTGGCTAATGAAAGATACAATACCTAGCTCCTGTTGCCTTCCTCTTGGTCCTAGTGCCTACTGTTATGTAACGGCGTAAATGCTGCCGAAGTCGATTAGGGCTCAACCCCAGAATTTTACCACAGCCAGACATTGGTTTTATACGTCGGGGACATAAAGCGTGCCACTGCTTCTACTTTGACCTGCTGTCGTAACTATTTCGTTGTTGTAACCCCGTCAATCGTCATCTGTGGCAGCTTGAGGGTCAAGTGGATGACTGCGAATGTAACGTGGACACAGTCGACTTCTTCAATAACGTCAAGATCTTTCCGAGACTGCAGTCTCTACTCGTCAAGGACTTTTTCCGCTTTTACAAGGTAGGTGAACTTTTTTTATTATGCGAGCTTTTATGCTTTCGGACATGAGTAGTTTCGTGTTGCTTCGCGTATGCACGAAGGTTCGCTGGATAATATTCCGTGTTGCCTGTCTCTGAGTTGCGCGAAATGATGCAAACTGGGGTTCCACGGGCTTGTGCTGCATCCAGAATCAGGTCAGGCACAGGGTACCTCCGATGGACGACGTGTCATAGCGTCAGAGTCCTGTTTGTCACTGAGTAATACCAGCGGGTGGTGCGCTACAACGTGGGATGTCGTAGATATGTCGAAACCTTAGTACTACTAAAATATGTATTCTGCAATTCAGCTGTTGAAGTTCTGTCGAACAATGTGTTATGTCGAGCAATGACGTGTCTAAGCTTTTTATGTCGGAGTTATATCGAACACTGTCGATTGGCGGTAGCAATACGGAAATGGTTACGTAACAGCGCTGTATTTGCTATATAGTGGTTGGCTCCCATTACTTAATGCGATAACTGAATGTATTTCCAGCTATATTGTGTGATATGGCCAGCTGCCCATAAAATATGATCGGCTGATATTCCTCGAACGTTTTTTTTTTTCTCCGAGACCAAGACTGAAATTAGCTAGACTACTGGACGTAGCGAACACCCGACGTGACACACCTATTTGTGACTGTTTCTGACCGTTCACCCTCATGTGTCCCCAGGTGAACCTGAAGCGGCCCTGTCCGTTCTGGGAGGACGACGGACGCTGCTCTCAGACCACCTGCCGCGTCAAATGCTGCAATGAGGTGAGGCTACTGAGACCATAGCAGCGGTTGGTCACGGCGCGTGAAACTAAACCGCCTATTACATTATCCCGCATACAGCGTCGAATAATGGGCTGTAAAAACACTTGTCGAGTCAGTAAATGTGGCTCTTCCATTCTCGAGTTACTGACCCTCCCTCCTCTTGCTTTGAAGGTCATCGGGATAGAAAAGGCCACCTGGCCTGCAGGTTCCGTTCTCTCCGAACATTTACGGCACATCCAGTCTTGAACGTGCGTTGAACAAAGGGTGCCACCAAAAGCGCACATAAATGAATCCTGAATTCCACAATGCACAGTGGCCCTTTTTCAGAATTAGCACGCATTAATTCCCACATTACCTGAAAGTGGTGCAAGACATCACCACGTGATCAAGGACGTATTCCCTGCCAATGCAAAGACAAGAAAAGAAACGAACTGCCCAAGGAGATTCGGCCCAACAGCGACAGGCCGCTCGGCCCAAGATTTGGCGCACGTTCGCACGGCTCGCCCGCCGGCCCAGGCCGCTCCGAACGCAAGTGTGGCGAGCCCGCCAGCCGACCGCGCTGCACTGACCGCCAGGACGCCTCAGGGCGTCACGTGACCGCATCTGCAGCTGTTGCCAGCCACCGTTAATCGTCCCCGGCCGGGCAGCAACTAAGGTCAGCGCGACGCGAACAATACAAACACATAGGCGCTTTTGACGTTAGATCTTAAGCCGACCACGGGACTTGTGCGGCTTGGACATCAAACGCGACAAGAAATCGGACAGTTTTTCTTGAGCACAGCGTTATGCCTATATGACATTGCAATAAGCACATCTTATGGCAAAAGTCAAGCCACATTTAGGCGCCCACCAGGTGACACCAGCTTCGAGCCAGGTCAATGAGCTTAGTCGTATCGAATAGGAGCCACAGCCGCTCGCGGACTGAACTGGCTCACGTTATTCACCGTAGAAGCAAAATGGCGCAAAATGGCGCGATGCCCTTTGGTGGACATAGTCAGAAGAGATCGGCGATTCGAACGATGTATAATACGATATGTCCCAGAGTGTGTTACTTAACATAAAGCTTCATATGTATGCCGCCATCTCCAGTTAATAATTGTCCTGTTATTGTGTCCACAATATTCGGCAAAAGTGGTCTATTTAAGTTTATACAATGAAAATTGTGGTTTCTAGGGCTTCTACGTAAACTCAGCTTCACAGCCATGCCACTAATTTTTAATATTTTCTCACTGAAAGCCTTACAAATTGATGTTCATCTCACCCTACTTTTTAGGGTCCGCCGGTGGTGTCCGCGCGCCTCTCGACAAACTTCGATTTTGCGGTCAGTTTTACCAAAGATAATTATTTTTTAGGAGGTAAAAATGGCACCATCGGATAGTTTGGAATGTTTTGCACACGATTAGACTGCTTGTTACTCAAAAGAAGAAAAAAAATATTTTGAATTTATGCGTGCTAATTCTGAAAAAGGGCCACTGTGCAATGGCCAGACTCGCCGAGTGTTTTCTGCGATGTCACGTTTCTCCTATATTTGACTTTAGACTTGGACCTTTTCATGGCTTTGTATCACTTCAAAATTACTAATGCTCAAATACGTTTCATTATTTCGAGTGGCAAGGCCCGTGTTGGATTCATTTATTAAATTAATGCAATGTTATGAACTCTTTTGAATGAGCCTACGCAAAGTTTGATGGATCGAGAAAGGCTTTCTTCGATCTCTCATCGAAGTTGTGCCTCTCCCAAATGATTACATCCTGTGCGATTTGCGGTATTCAAATAACCCAGGTGTCCAGGCATTAATTGTGCACCGTTTTATATTTCGTAAGTCGGACTTGGTAATGAAGCGTTGTTGGAAAATTACTTCTCGGGGATTATTAAATAGTGTAATGGCATTACAGTTGAACATGTCGCGTTAGTGGACGGCCAGACCTTTGTATCCGCTCTCCTATTCAGATCGCACGGCCCCCATTCAGCGGCATTGGAATGGGCCAACTACGTAGTTCAGCGGGCCTTCCTGAGTTGCATCAACCCCCGATAGCTGCGTCATATAAAACACTCATACAGGTGTCGTGTACGTATTTACACGTCTGCACGTTCGGATTGTTCCCCAGCTGTTTAGCGGAAGCTCTGAATCAGACGGTATCCTGCCGGATGATGCAACGAAGTGCACGTTTGATGAAATGTTTGCTATTCGGTAAAATAGATTTGGCATTTATGGCTGGTGGTTCAGCTTAAACACCTTGCTATATGAGCTATGATCATGATTGTTTTACTGGGGAGGATCGAACTAACACTCATCTGAATCATATCATCCTCGCTCAAACAAGTGGCAATATATTCCAACTCCAAGATGCTATCTATAACGAACTTCACCAAACGTTCCATTTGTCATCGGATATGTCTGACCTTTGGGTTATCCGTTCTGATCTTATAGGCAGCAGGAATCAAGGGAACGAGGGATTATCCCAGCCACACGACTCATGACTGTTTTGTCCCATCCGTCGGAGCCAGGGATAGTAAAGTAATACCCTATGAACCAAATTTAGAAGCGATATGTAATCCTCTCTAGTAGTTGTTCAGCTCGTAAACGTTTTCCCGAATACATCAACTTCTTGGGAACTGAACAGCGGGCAGGTCTAATATGTTGAAGAAAAGCTAGTCGGAGTTATTTCCGACTCATCCACACCACATTTCACCAGAAGGTAATTGTTCTGTCGTCTCCACGACACGTGCAGAGCGCGCTCGGCGGCCCAACACCTGTGCCTAGTTAGTTCTGCCGCGGCGGACGGCCCGGCATGTCAGCAATCATGACCGGCGTGAACACACTCACGCTGCCAGCTGAACCGTATCAGACATCAGTTCGTGTCAGGGAGAGGGCTCCGGCCACCGCGGGAGCGGCCGCAGCTGTGAGATGTGTGTCTGTCGGTCGGTCCGTCTGTATGCCTGTCTGTGTGTCAGTGTGTCTGTCTGTCTGTCTGTCTGTCTGTCTGTCTGTCTGTCTGTCTGTCTGCCTCGGTCGGTCGGTCTGTCTGCCTGTCTGTCGTTTTATCTTTCACTGTCCGCCCTTCTTCACAGTTAGAGGCATATTTTCCCAGTTTGTTTGCCTATTTTTCGGTCTGTCTGTTGTCTGTATTACTCAGCGACTTTCCTTATTCGTGTCGTGGTTCGTGATTGGTGCTGTATGTATGTGCAGCTTGTGCCAGTCACGACTGTGTGTTTGGATAGCGGCACGCCTGACTCCTTTCTGCAGGTCACTGATGTCTAATGATATGTTAAACGGCTGTTCTGTCGACTGCTTTGGCGATATTTGACTTGTGGGAATCATGGCTTGACAGTTTTGTGGGTATTCTTCAATCATGGGTCTTCGTTGGGGCCTGGACTTTTCCTTAACCCGCGCACCGACGGGGGAGGGGGGCGGATATCCACCCCCTAAGATTTTTCGTGAATAGCGGGAAAACGCGCCGCGAAATTTGGTATGACTATTCCCTTATCAATTTTACACATGGTGTGCAAGTTTGAACCTCCTACCTTTCAAGGTCAGGTCACCAGGTCACTTTGAATGACCCAACCTCAAGTCACTTTTTTGCAACTTTGTCACCGTGCCAGAGCTACAGTAGATGTCGGAGGCCTTTGAAAGTCGCAGGATGTTATTAGGTCATTAGTAGCTACAATTTGTATATCTCGGAATTTTGATATCGGTGACCTAAGGTCAGGTCAATTTCGCGACCTCCCCATTATAAGTCAATGGGGGAAAAATCAACTCCCTGTTTTTACCACTAAAACGGGTCGGAATGGCCCCATATACCATACATGACTTCATATACGATCAACCTTCACAACCTTGAGGTCTGTTTTGCTGTTGGGCAGCTGTGAGGTCATGTGACGTCATCAAAGGTCACCAAAGGTTTTTGGCCAATAACTCCGTACAGGAACAAGCTACAGACGCGTGGATGGTCTCATTGTGTTCAGCTCGTCAAGACGCATCGAATGATACACATGATGACCTCGAGGTCACGTGACCTGAGGTCAACCTTTGACCTTGACCTTTCGAGGTCAACATATATATCATTCGATGCGGATTGACGAGAGGATCACGATGATGCCCTTAGTTTGTTCCTATCTTGACTAATTCGAAAGTTATTCGAGAAAAACTCTCTCCAAATTTAGCGCCGCCATTTTGACTTTTTCGACCCCTGTGACGTCATCTTTGACCTGACCTGAAAATGACCTTAGTAAAAATTGTAGATCTTGACCGTGCGTATCCGATGCCGTTTACCGCTTGTCGCTATCTTGCTTCGTTCTCGAGATCTCAGGGGGGGGGGGCGGTCATCCGCCCCCCCCCCCCCCGTCGGTACTAAGTTGGCGCAGACCCCCGTCGGTGCGCGGGTTAACATTTGGTATGCTTTTAGACATTTTCTTTATTGTCATGCTTGTGATTGTCAATACGCTTATCTGTGTTATACAAATTAGGTTTAAACTTAATCATGCGTCAGTGTTGAATTGAGTTAACATGCATTGCATATCTCTTTTTCGACAGGACGAGCTACCGATCGGCCTCAAAGCTGGAGCGCCTGTGGAGCCTAAGGAAGATCCAGCCTATAAGGTACGCACGTCAAACACGATCCCTGACAATGCGCTCATCGCTCCCGCCCGGTGAACTTTGTTTGCATGGTTCTTATCCGATCCAAACCTCCTCGTTTAATGCCGACGCTCGGACGTAAGATTTTCGATGAAGACGGCTTATCTCGTGACTTCCACTAGTTGTTCGTAAAAAGTATACGTGCTGCTTACACAGAGTCTCAATGTGAGGCACTCAAGCGCCTACCATTTCTGCGCTAGACGAGTGGGCTGCGGTAGATTGACGTGTATATGTTTGTAGGCTGAACACATCCGTAAAAACTGACCGACATACCACAAACCACGCTGTCTGGGTGCCGCCGGAAAGTTGGTTTTGTGTTGCACAAATCCCTCCGTCTGGGCTCTCTCGGAAAGTTGGTTTTGTGTTGCACAAATCCCTCTGCAAGGTTAATTAAGTCGCGACTTTTCTCTGAATCATGTCTGTCAATTTGCTCGGCGAGTGGAGCGTTGACTGACCGAATGTTTTGCTGCAGCTTGTTTTAGACTTGTTTAGTCAGCTAACTGTAGCTAGCACTGACCTTTCACGTCCAAAATTTACACTGGTGCACGCATTTCAGTTACAGCGTCACATAGTGGGCCTATGACATATAAGAAACTGCATCGTTACTTCGACCGGGTTTATTGTTTATCCTAACACGACCAGGCTCGCTCGCAGAGTCCTTAGTGCAGTTCATTTCATGAATCAGACCTCTTCCCTGTGCGGCTTAAATTCGAATTTCTCTGGAGTGAGTGACCTAAATCGGTCTCTCCTTCATATTTTCTATTTACCTCCTTTCTTGTTTCTCTTCCCTTGTTGTTCTCGCCGCCCCACCGCTACCCCTCGCCTGTAACCATCATGTTACGACATGTTACGACGAACATTTTACACTAACTACGGGGTAGTTTGCAATGCCATCTCGCCAAAGTAGAGCGGCGATGCGTTACGATTAAGGACGTTTCTTCATACGAACTATAATCGACGACATCGACGAATCGTTGACACATTATGCTCCCTTCATTCAAACGCACCTACTCTCTTTAATATCTACCCTTGACCTGTAGCACAGGTAGCACTCACGGACGTAATGCTCCCAGCTTACATTCCTATCCCGTTGTGGATACCTCAGCTGACCGAGGACCGCTCCTCTCTCCCTCGGCAGTACACTGAGGAGGCGCAGACGGAGAAGGACGACGAGGCGGACTGCGATGGGGACAGCCTGGGGGACCTCAACACCACCATCAGGTGCGTACCTCGTCTTCAGATAGCCTGAGGTCAGAGGAAGACCGCACCGCGAGTTTTTTTTATCCCGGCTAGCTGAACTAGCTGGTCAGGAAGAGTGATAAGGGAAATAAACTTGACATATCTTCATTTTGCGCGTGACATGTGCCCCGTTGTGCCGTGTAGGTCACGTTACCTACATGCATGGGAAGTAGTCCGATTCTTGAGAAAAGAAATTTAACTTCATTGCAAGGCTGCAAATCAGTCAGTCCAGCCGGACTGCTGACATTTGTATAAGTCTAGTAAAGGCGTGACCACGGCTGACTGAAAGACTTCGCTTTACGCTTTACGCTCGCTCATACTTATGTGTGAAATTTATGATAAACTGCACAGAGATGCATGCACACCTGGAAGGATACGAACTTTCGAGAATTGTTTTGACGTTGTGGCACGATCGTCCGCAGCGCCTCTCGTCAGAAGCGGCTCGATCGCTGGACCGCCCATGACGACGCGCAGGACAACTTCTGTGACGTGGACGACGAATCGTCGGCGGACATGCAGTTCGTGGACCTGCTGCTCAACCCGGAGCGCTTCACCGGCTACCGCGGCGACTCGTCCACGCGCGTCTGGTCGGCAATCTACAACGAGAACTGCTTCAAGTGAGTCCAGATGAGCGACACACCCGCGACGCCGCGCATTTGGCCGCGCAGTTCTGTAGCTGACGGAGTTGCGTGATATGCAGAAACGCGCTGCTTAACCCGCGACCTGGTGGGGGGGGCTATTTTTTGCCCCCCCCCCCTCCGGACTTTTCGATATATCTCCAGAACCGCTGCGCCGATCGTCACCAAACTTTCAGTACCCTCCCGGACATCAATTTCACACATTGTGACCAATTTTTTTTTCCAAATGCTATGATAGGTTGGCCGGAAATGACGTCAGAGTGACGTCATGTTCTGCCGTTTTCGACCCAAAAAAGGGTTTCGCGGGAAGAGCTGTCAGGCCTATAGCTTTGCAAATACAGAAAAATGATAAGGACATAAAAGCTGTAGATTGGACAGGGATACAAAACTGCTATCTCGGATTTTTGAAATTTTTGGATTTTGACCCCCAAAAATCAAAAAATATATATTTTTTTATATAATAATAGAAAAATCCAAAAAGTTTTTTGAATTTCGCAAAAACCGGAATATATGTGATAGTCCTTACCGCCTTCCATCCACATACCAAATTTGAGATTGATACCTCTTTTTTGGCGAAGTTATAGCGAAAAAACTGTTCAAAATTGATGACGTCAAATTTTCAAACTCAATTTTTAGCAATTCTAGACCCCGTAGCGCAAAACAAAGACCACCATTAGACTCCCCGTGACGAGCTGCATCGAATCAATACCCATTTTATGCAAAACTATCAACTTTAAAATTTGACCTTTTTTGGCCTGACCTTGACCTGACCTTGACCTGAACTTCACCAGAAAGTGACCTAAGCCGTACCTGATAGTCTTATAACCAACACCATTGAGTTGGAAATGAAAAATTGACCATAAAACATGTATCACACAACCTTAGTAAAGTTGGGCTCATGTGACCTGACCTGTGACCCTTGGTGACCTGACCTGTGACCTGACCTGGTATTGCCAGTGACCTCTAATAGCAACATATCTACTAGGCAACTGACGCCCTACCGCTGATTCTCGACAAAATGCGTTTTCCTCGGTGTTATAACGCATTTCCTAGAAGACCCGTGAACGGTGAAACATTTCATCTTTGACCTGACCTGTGACGTCATCGGTGACCCCGAGGTCAATGAAAATTGGTTTCCTTCGACAAATTTAACAGGCCTTTCGAACGCCGTTTGAATTTTGCGGATCCGTCCAGTAGTTTTGGAGATACGAGGGGGGCAAAAAATAGCCCCCCCCCCCCCACCAGGTCGCGTTATAAACAGACCCCACCAGGGCGCGGGTTAATTGATATGCATATCATCAATATTATTAGACGGGCCGATAGGCTTTAGAGATGTAGTAAGGCCTATGACATATTCATCAAATGCGAAAGACCTATTGTTCATTAGGAATATTAGTTTTAGTTAAATATACATTGAAAAAGTACTGCTAGGGCCGGCGCTTCTCGGACTTCCGCGGCAATTTCCGCAAGCTAAATATGGACGTGGCTGAACCGGTCCCGACTTCAGTTACCTCATTCCGCCAGGACACCACGGCGCTGACGTTCGGTCGCGTTTTTATCAGCAGGCTGCCAGTCTGCTGCGGCTATTTCTTGGTTTCTCATCGGACTAATTCATGTAGCCTGTACGTTTGACCAACGAGAAGCCAAGAAACGCCAACAACGAATTTCCTTGTAGGGAAAAACTGGCAGCTTGCTGATGAAAAACGGAGACCGAGCAGCGCCCACGTCCCACGTTCAGTCATCTCGTATTAATGGCATCCGGGATGTCTAGCCAGCCTGTAATGTAGCCATGCAGTTCATGTCTGCACCTTGTCTTCAAGCCTTTCTATCCACTTATTTGACTTGGCCGCAATAGGATGTGGTCTAGCGTAAACCGGTGAATGCTAAACCAAAACCGTGTGCGTGGATTTCTGACGATGCGTCTAGGAAGAACCTACCATAAGGGGGCAATGACCTTTAGTTTTAGTTAACTGGAAGCTGTGTTTACGCATTTTTTACAAGTTGTTTTTATTTTTTCAGACCGAAGAGCGCTAGCAGCACCCAGAATAAATACGCGCCCATGGTGGACACCACGAACCTAGGAGGTGAGTGGGTCTCGCCGGTGGTTGATGGGTTGGTTTGCTGAGGGGTGCAGGTGGGGTTCGTAGTGTGTGGTCCTGCAGTCCACAGATCGGTCCTCTATGTGACGAGGGCGCACAGCGGGATGGATGGAGTGGACCACTGACAATTTCTGTCACAGTCTGCAGCTCAACTTTGTCTCCCTGCTGTGTCATCAGCGAGCTTGCAGCGGCGTGAGGGTGATAATTTCGTAATGGGTAGACAAAGCTACTAAAGTTAACCTTACCATGGTATATTGAATTTTTGTCCATCTTTTCCAGTTATTTTGAATTATTGGATATCTGTATCAAACTCCTCATCCCCTGTCAATAATTAATTATGATATTTCACGTTCACTGCACGACTTGCAGGTTTGCAATGCATGCTTTTTTGTACGGGTAGGTTTTTGTGTCCAATTAGGGGACTTTTGATTTGCCGAATCACATATTCAGGTGGCCAGTAAATAGCATTCATTGACAGACACCCCTGGGCCCTGGCCCTATCGAGTGTTGAGCAAATATGCCTACGTTTGTGCGTACTATTTTGTTCAGTATCAATGCCTGCTCTTGACCTACGTTTGTGCGACAGTATCAATGCTCCGCTGTTCTCCACATATTGTTATCAAGCGACGTCTTCATACCCTATCTAACGATACTAACCCACTTTGTGTGCCGTCCGCTTCAGTAGCCGTTAACTGATTCACTTACCTGCGAATGCTCTCTCACTTGTCCTGTTTAACAAGTCCCCTCGCTTGCCTGTGTGTTTGTGTGTGGCCTCTTTATTTGAGTGACGCTCTCCTCTGTCTCGTCTAACATAGCCGATCCGTTGCTGAGTGGTGAGTCAAGCGACCCTTCCGCGCCTCTCTCTCTCTCTCTCTCTCTCTCTCTCTCTCTCTCTCTCTCTCTCTCTCTCTCTCTCTCTCTCTCTCTCTCTCTCTCTCTCTCTCTCTCTCTCTCTCTCTCTCTCTCTCTCTCTCTCTCTCTCTCTCTCTCATGCACTCTTTCCTTCACACTGACTCGCTCACAATCACACCTCTGTAAAATGGTTACATGATGTTAACTGTGCTTTTAGCCGCTAGCTCTGTCTAAGTGTCTAGCATCCAGTTTCTTTCGCTAGTTTTATGCTTCGAACTGTCAATATTTACTTCCGCTCTCTGAAGCTCGAATTTTTTCAGCCTTTTTCGTTTAGCTTTTTCAATTTCATTCCACTTTCATGACGTTGGCTTCATCTAGAAATAATTTGATCTCGGAACTTCCCGCTACTGTCAGTTTGCGTGTATCATGGTCAACAGAGAGGGTGATTAGCCCCATTCGCTATGGCATGCGTGCTAGAAGAAGAAGACACCAAGGCTACGGGATTGTCTCGTTTCGGAGAAGAGCCGGGATTTAACATTCTAACGAACCAACTAATGTTAACCAGACGAACGAATTTTCGCCATATCTTATTTGGCGCAATAGATCCTCTAGCAGCCGGCGCCCCCCAAAGCCCCTATAAACAAACTGTGTTACGCGTCAGCTGTCTTTATTTGCTTAAAAAGTACAATGCATAACTACTCATTGCCGAATTCATAGTACTGTTGAAAGTGGAATAACGTGTAAAACATGGAAATTTCCACTCTGCACGTAGTTTTACTATGTTCTGCGGATTAGCGTTTTTCCGTTTCTCTTCCATCTTTATGCACCTCCTTGTCTTATAGAACTCCCACCCCACGCCCACCTGGCTATAACTACGTAGACCGTAGCTCGCTCACCTACTTTTCACGCTCCGTACTGTAGTGTTAGCTAGAACCAATGGGACGGTTGGCATGCCATGGAAAGGGTTTTATTTGCTGTGCATGATGTAGCCTTTTATAAGGATTGGTTCAGGTGTCAATAAATAATATTTGTTTTAGGTCTACTTTTGCGGAACATAAGTTAGTAGAACCCATTAACATCCGATCGGTACTAGTTATCCATCACTAGAAATGGTACAATGGTATGACTTCAATATCATGCACATGGTGTGGCCATGTAAGTACAAGTATAACCGTAAAAATGTAGCTAAAAACTAACTCGATCGCTACCCGTCGCCGTTTCCTACTGCCGATCCGGTTGTGTTATGCTCCCTCACTCCCTGGAACACCGTGTTTATCTGTTATCTCGTCTGTAAGCGCGGTGTCTGACGCAGTCGTCCCGTGCCGACCAGGTCTCTGTCTCGAGGAGCGGGTGTTCTATCGTGCCATCTCCGGTCTACACACCAGTATCACGGTCCACCTGTGCGCCGACTACCTCCTGTCGGGTGAGTGCAGAGGAGAATTAGCGTCCCGGCCAGTCTCCGGTGCCGCGTGTCCAGGCTCTCAGCGGCCCACTCGGGTGCCGATGTGGAGTAGGGTGGGGTGGCTGGACAGTAGACTTAATACAGCTGAGAACACGTGAGAACGGTGATCTTGGGTCATTACATTGGCACAATGAATTAATGGCCACTGAGGGGTATTCTGGGAGTTTGCCCTCTTTTATTGAGTATTTCTTTAGCCGTTCAGAGTCCGAATGCATGTGGAATTAGTGATATTTGCTCGTGCTGGATCATCGACCGCTGTAACAGCAGTGGTATCAATCAGACCATCATGCTTGATTGAAGGACACGAAGCCAAGCCTGTAAATGCCGACTTGGCTCCATAGTCTGCACAGTGCACACATGCAGCTGCCCCCGTGTGACCTTTAACTGGGTGTTCCCATAGAGGGCTGCCGCGGCCTGGACCGTCTGGCTCCCGGCACTGCCAAGTGGGGCCCAAACCCCGCCGAGTTTCACCGCCGCTTCGACCCGGAGACCACCTACGGCCAGGGTCCGAGCCGGCTGAAGAACCTCTACTTCTTGTACCTGCTGGAGCTGCGCGCGCTGGCCAAGGCGGCGCCGTACCTCTCGCAGCTGGAGTACTTTACGGGGAATGAGGAGGAGGATCAGGAGGTCCGCATGGCCATCAGGGATATCCTGGCCGTCATCAGGTGAGGGGTCGGGGTGCGGCGATGGAAATAGTGGGAAGGACCGCTTATGTGTGGGAGGTGTGGCTTGTAGTCGAAATCTGCTGCCGGCTGGCTGGATTGACTGGGCTTGTTGAAAAGTTGCTGGCAAAGTTTCTGACCATCTAGCGTGGTTTCTGTTTTACCAGTGGTGCTGTTTACGAAAGGTGCTCATGAAAGCTCCTTTCGTAATGAATGTGATTCGTAGTCAATGATCTCGTCGTCCCTCCTTCCTTTCCAGCCGTCGACTAACCCGGTATGGTCCCTGTCTCAGCTCATTGTATGCTCTTTATGCCCCCAGCTCGTTCCCGAGCCACTTCAACGAGTCGGAGCTGTTCCGCGGCGGGAAGCAGGCGCGCAAACTGAAGATCGAGTTCCGCGATCACTTCCGCAACATCTCCCGCATCATGGATTGCGTCGGCTGCGAGAAATGCAAACTCTGGGGCACCCTGCAGGCGAGTCCGACCTATAGCACCGGCAAGGGTTGCTGCAGCTGTGGATTTTGGTTTGGGGCATGCTGAGCAACCAGACCTTTGCGTTTACATACCCTGTGCCGACGGGCGGTTCGGTGGCTAGACGTGTCTCACTTACTTTAGAGCCTCACTAACTCATTCATTGAGAGCGCCTGTGAATGGGCTATAGTGGAGCCGATCCGGAAGGTCCTATGAATGATGTATTGCTGGGGCGACTGGCGGCGGCTTTTGGGCGGATATCGCAAGTCAGACGATATTATAGCTGGTCTGGCCCATATGCCAAATAAGATGATAGGCCATAGCGATATCTGCCTTCCCTTGTCAAGAGTCGGTAGGTTACACATGATTTTAGCACATTGACATGCAGACCGCTGGTCTATGGCGAGACTGGCCTGCGAATGACCCACGCCGGATGTCAATGGGATATTCTGACCTGGCCGTCTGCTGTAATGATTATGTGGCGGGTATTCCGGGCGCTGGTGCTACCAGCCATTGCCGCCTACCGTGCTGTCATAGATGTTTATGACATAGATGACATCACGGCACGATATTTCGTGCGATCCGTGTGATGTTTATTGCATTGAGGTGCGGTCAGGATGATGTGATAACATATGGTCTCGCAAGCGGTCTGAAGCGTGTGAGGCCGTATAAATCAGTTTCATATATGTATTTTTAATGAAGAATGTCCTTGCATATTTAAACTAGGTACTGGTTAACCTGGCGTCATCCCTGCGTCTTGTTTCAGTGGCTCTCTCGTTACGACTAGTTGTGTATATTGTAGGTAGATTCTACCCCACCTCAGAACTGCCTCGCATTGACTGATAACCTATCGCCAATTTCAGACGCGTGGTCTCGGCACGGCGCTCAAGATCCTGTTCTCTGGCAACTTCGATGACCCGGCGGTGTTCCAAGAGGGCTCCACGCGCCGACCCAAGTTCCAGCTCTCCAGAAACGAGATCGTAGCGCTCTTCAACGCATTCGGCAGGTAGGTGTCACTCCTGCTTAGCGGTGGGTTCTGCTAAACACGTGAAGTGTCGTTATTCTTACGTGGGCCTTACGTGGGCCTGTAGACTGTGTGAGTTTTCTTTCTGCTTTTTGGAGATTTGTGTCAAGACTCATTCAGCACCAGCATTAGGCGTTCAATTAGATTTACTCCCAACGCTGATGCTCTTGGTATCGTTCAGAAAATAACTTTCTCGGAGCATCTGCGTAGTGGGGATGACCCCCGCCCGCGTGCCGCCTCTGTGCGTGTTTATGCGTAGGTACCGCGGTTAGCGGCAGCGGCGAGTGGCCGCACAAATGCGCCGAGTGCTCTCCATTGGCGGCGCCGCCCTCCCAGGGCACTCGTCCGCCGCTCCCCGTCCGGTGAAGGTTACCGCTGTCTGTTCCGCCCCCGCCGGCCACCGCCCCGCCGCGCGGCGCGGTCATTTTCAGAGCGCTGGCGGCTCAAAGTCCGGCTGGATGGCTCGAGTTGCACGCGGCTATAACCACTCCACCTCGGCGGCCGTGTTCAATATCCCTCTTCCCGGTACGACCTCGCCACTGTGCACCGCTCTTGTCTCGGCCACTGACCGCTCTGACGCTCGGTCGTTGACCCCGACTGTCTCCCCGGCTCTGTCCACAGACTGTCGACAAGTGTACGGAATCTGGAGCAGTTCAGAACGGGCGAAACCTGACCGGCGCATAGGATGGTGCCGTGACGGTGAGCGTGACGACTTCACCGGTCGTGACGGTTACGAGACGCGTCCTGGGGCTCACGGTTCGGCGTCTGAGGTTCTTGGATCACCAAAATTATCAGCCTTGAACCGGAGGGCTGCCAGCCACGGAGTAGTGATCACTAACGTTATTTAAGCGGTATGTTACTTCTGTTAGGAAGGAGATTGCTCCCCTGAGAGACTGGAAGTTGTAAGTGCGAGTCGAGTCACTTGCGCGCCTCCCCGCCCCTGGTTTGATATATCGCGCTCGAACTGGAACAGAGAGAGGAAGCGGCAGGTTGAGAAGTGTGAGCGCCAGTTTGAACAGAGTACGCACAGGATGGGACCAGGCAGACGGGGAACGTTCCAGCTGGTGAATAGCGAAACCCGTGTTTCAGGGATGCAGGGGACATGGTGCGGGCCGCAGGGACATGGTTGTTAGCAGTCAGCTACGGGTTATATGAAAGATTTAGCCACCGTTGCTTTTCCGGCTGTCTGATACTTTATGACGTAGTAAGAAAATCGGTCACCGATTTGCTTAGCTGCCGTGTTGTTTGTTTTTCGTATGTTTAGTTGGGATTTGTTGCGACTTTAACTCACCACATTGGTTAATTGTTAGTGACCATTAATTCGATGCTGGTAAGTGGTAGGTGCGCATGCAGAACATTTGAGCATTACGCGAGATGCATTCACGTCTATAATATGGTGTCCCCTGCCTGGTTTTTGGCTAATTGTCCGTGAGCGTTAAACGTTATAGATGTGTTGTTTTCTTCTATCGAGTTGTTAATGTTATTCAAACTTCACGCTCATACCGAATCGTGTACTGCATAATTGTGGTTAATCAGGCAAGTATTCGGCCGTTTCCTTTATCAGGTGATGGTTCCTATAATGTGACGTTATGCCAGCACTGACCGGTCTTTCAGACATATCACGTGCCCTTCTATCGCCGGTCTGCCGTCAAAGTAACCAGCGTGTGATTACTTACTGCACTCTCTCACTGTGTGCGAGTCCATGCATTGGCACGAGGCGCCTACTGGCACTGTCTAAACGCGTCCTTTCGGCGGGTGGACGTGAGCAGACTTGGCTACCGTCCGCTGTCGGGTCCATTTAAGGGTCAGTGGATGCCGAGATGTCAACTCTGGGCATTGTGGCGGTATATGTCGATATGTGAGCGAGGATCGCCCACTTTCCGAGGTGCGCGCGGCTGGATGGGGAAGTTGAGGTTATTTGGTCGGTCGACAGAGGTCACTAGTACTACTGTCTGATCGGTTTCTTCGAGTGGATGCAGCTGGACAGTGCCTGTCGCCTGTCTGCCTTTGGTTTGTGGGTCGATCTCGATGTGTTGACCAAGTGATGAGGAAAGGTTAGTTGAGCGTTGTGACCGAATTCTATTTATTTAAAATGTCTTGTCTGTAAGGCAGTAAATACATGCAATGCTTCGCAACTGTGCATATGGGTGTTTGTGACTGCTGTAGGCCGGTGGTACGGGAATGCAGTTATCTTGTCAATGATAGCAATGTGCACTCGATATGTAACTTTTTGTGACTGAATAGACGTGAATTAATAGCACGTGGTCACAGGAGCGGATAGTGGCAGATAATGATCCTTGACAGGCAAGACGCACCAGCTGTGTCCTACGCATTAGTTGGAGCGGTAAAAATGAAATGCAACTTGCACCTAAGAGAGCTCCTTATACTGAAGAAGCGAGTTGATGGCACTGATTCAAGCTGGTCCTGTCAATGGGATCAATTCCAATTCAGACCAAATACGTGCTACTGTTTAATAATTTCGCAAACCCGAAAAATGTAGGTATCGGGATTTGGAAGCATGTGCGCAAAATATAAGGCACTGGTAAAAGCTGTCCAGGGCCCCAGGCTGACTCGATCATGTAATTATGAACTGTGAACCGTTTCACATGCATTTTGGCTGTATGCGTCATTTGACCATTGTCGGATGTCTGGAGACATTATCTGCTTAGTACAAACTGCAAAAAGCCTACAGCAAAGTAAATTGACGACTGACGTAGAAAAAGTTGACGTAGAGAGAGAAGACATGCATAAGATTCTTCTTCGCGAAAATAATGCATTTCATTCTTTTCAGTCCTCCTTAGGGCAACTTTACTTAGCCTGTCAACCCTGCGATGGATAACATACCAACGTCTTTAGTCTACACATCACATAGATCGTGTATTTTTGTGCTAGACATTGTTTACATCCACCACATAATCAAGGTAGACACCACTCATTCACTGCAGTGAGCACTGGATCACTGGGTCTCATGGCACCCATTGCCCCATCAATTCCACCATGACTCTGCACAAACGTGTGAGTCGCGACCCGGCGCGCTGCGTGTGGGGCGTGCTGGCACCGAGCCGCGACGGAGCACCCGCGGCTGACCTCTGACCTGTGGTGACACGGGTGACCCGGCCGGGGAGCGGCCGGCCCCTGCGCGGCACGCCCGGCCCGTAATGAAGATTTGCTGGGTCACCGCCCGGTGGCCGGCCGCACGAGCAGCGGATCGTCGGAGTTGCAGCGTGCGCGGATAATGTGCTGCTGAATAGTGACACGATTGCGACGATATTTGCAAAGAAGGTAGCAGGAGTGACGACTTTCAGGACTGCCGACGATACACAAACGGCAATAACGTTTGTCGTTTGCAGTTGTAGCTCCTTGTAAATGCTTCTTATAACCGCTAAACAGGACAAGGGTCACATATAGGTAGACTTCAGCTCATTCATCGCAATCGAAGGACGCCTCGTATGAGTTCCTACATGGGCCTCTAGAGTCTGGTATCTTAAGAGTCATAAACGTTAAGTAGAAAAACCTCGCGTGCAGTCAGCCCCTACTTCACAAATATTTACTAAGGTATCTTCTGAGTTATGAACAGTCTCGCTGAGCGTGTGACCTGCCTCGCACCCTTCCCCTCCCCGTCTCGTTAGTGGGGCCACGCGGCGCGGGGCGGCGTACGGTAGCGCTCGTGGCAATTACGCGTCTAATTGAAAGCCGCTGCACGGGCGAGGTCGGCGCTCCGACTCTGGTAAACACTCCTGTGTGAACGAAGTATAGCGGGCACTGGAGGGCCAATGAATGCACATGAAGCGTGATCGACTCCCAAATCCAGCCGGCTCTCGGCCAGGGGTGTCACATTAACTAGCTCGACAGCGCCCTGACCTCTTTGGTTTAAAGCCTGTTAACGCTTGATTCAGCTGGCTGTTCAATGTTCATGGTCACAGTCCTGCTACCACCCGTCCGCTATGCTGTTGGGTCCGCTGCATCTGTGGTGTTTGGTTTACGTCGTTAACCCGCGAGTTGCTGGGGGGGGGGGGGCGTTAAACGCCCCCACTTTTTTCGCCGGGCCATAGCATAAAAACGGCGCGCCGCAGGCGCGCCAAATTTAGGGTAACTGTAGGAAATTGATTAAAGTTTATTGTGACAAAGTTTGAAAAAAAATCGGTTCGAAAATTTTTGAGATATCGAGGTTTTAGTGACGTCATGATTGCTGAGTTTTCGACCAAAAACGGCATATGTTCAAAAAATCATATAAAATCACAGAATAGACATACAGACATGCCGTAAACGCCATTAGACTGCCAATACCATGAACAATCAAATGGCTATCTTCGATTATTGATTATCGTTCCGCATTTTCCAAAATCTTGAGCTGAATCTTGGCAATTTCTCGTGACTACTTCACGACCATGATACATGTATTTCTTAAATTGAACTTTTTTAGCCAAACACGTACACATATGATAAAATGAATGCCACCATCGTGTTCTACGCCCCAAATTACCCATAAAACATGTGTCACAGGCTGCGAATATCAGTTTTGATTTTCGGGGATATGTGCCTGCCCGGTTGACCTGACCTTGACCCTGACCTATGCTTGACTGACCCCTACATGGAGCTGACACTCTTGTAGGCCTTATATGATGGATTGTGCACCGTTTTGACAGAGTTTATGACGAGAGGCGCAAATTTCGAAGTCCTGAAGTCCATGCTACTAAAAGCCCGATTTCAGGTGTTTGACCTGACCTTGACCCGACCTGTGACCTCAAAATTTAACTTAAAAGTGCTCATCTGAAGCGTCTCGTCGCGTTCTCTCGTTTGCCGCCTCGTGCGTTTCGCTGCGCCTATTGGTTCTCGAGTTATCGGCTGGGGGCGTTTAACGCCCCCCCCCCCCCAGTAAACGGTGGGTGGCGAAATACCCCAGCAACTGCCGGGTTAAGCGGTTTCCAGTGTTAGAAATAGCAGCGGATGTGCCCTTTGAAGACCGAACTGTTCACCTTTATATAGGTCAAATAACTGAGCCCTCATCATGCGGCGGAACGGGGAGGGCACCGGGGCACCGTGCCCCCCTTTGATTTACGCATTTTAACCCGCGCCCTGGTGGGGGGAACCTGTCAGGGGGCCTGATTTCCCCCCCCCCCCATGGGTGGAGAATGTTTGAAAAAGTTACCCCGGCCGGCGACCGATAGTCGGAAAGACGACTAAGCTCACGTTGTTGCCAACGATCATCATAAACAAACCCCTATTCTGACCCATGGAAATGGAATAATGGACGTTGTGTTTGTTCAATGGTGAGCGTTGTATCCGACATTGTATCATTCATAACATTGTTGGCGATGATTGAAAAGGCGATTTTCTTTTAAGTGATTTTTTTATTTAAACTTATGCAATTTCACAACATATCCAAACCATACCCATCATGAGTCATTATGAGTAAATGTTGCGTTTTCAGCTTTTTATTGTGTCTCAAAATAACTACAAAAAGATGACAGCTCACCTCGTAGGAGCTTTACAGAGAAAATTGAACGTTCGAACCAAAGCACTAAAATGAGTCACTGACATCCAGTGACACAGTCTTTTTCAATGTTGGGTGGCTCAACCTCTTATAAGACAAACAGGGAGTCTATCCAGGGATATCGACCGGTCCCGGTCTCGTGGCTCAATCGATTGAGCGTTGGACTCCGCGTGGCGAGAGCACGCGTTCCGGTTACAACAGTCCGAGCTCGAAGCGTGACGGACGCTCGGTGTATGAGCATCCTGACGGCTACGCCCTGACGGTATGGTTGCGGTTTGTGGCAGGCCAGTCAAAGGCAGTGAAGTCAAGCAGTGGTTCTAAAAAAGTGCGCCGAAGGCGCGCCAAATTTTCGAAACTGAACACGATTTGAGAGCAATCTTGGCATTGCCAACCACACGCGGGTCCTAGGGCTCAACGCCACCGCATGGTAAGTTGAGTACCTAAATAGTGTAAATACCTTCCTGAGTTGCAGTATTACGCCCATGGCAGTCAACGTCCGAAAAACGACAGTTTTCTTTTCTCGTATGGCGACAGCTTTTAGGATTTACAAGAGTGGAAAAGTTACCCCGGCCGCGCCGGGGTAGGCTGAAAGTTATCCCGGCCACGGCCGGGGTGGCCGGGGCAGGTTCTCCACCCATGCCCCCCCTGTGGTTTTTCTTGAATAGCGTTCCGCCAAATTTTCAGTACCTTCCCGGGCATCAATTTGACACCTTCACACAAAATTTCAAGTCACAGGTCACCTTAGGTCAGGAGTTATTGAGGTCAAACTGAGGTAATGTTCGAGCAAAAATGAGCAAAAAACATGACATCTTGAAACGCTCACAAAATCTACATTAACAAGCAATTTCAAAGTTTTTTTTTATGTGGTCGTGTAGAGAAAAGACGGCGCCAAGGCCATATATAGAGACGGCGATATAAAACCGCTATCTGGGATTTTCAAAATTTTGGAATTTTAACTCCCCATTTTTCCAAAAGAAAAACTCAAAAAATCAAATTTTTCGAATTTTGAAAAAAAAAACGGAAAATATGTGATATTCCCTGCCCTCTTCTAGCTACATACCAAATTTTAGATCGATACCTCCTTTTTTGGCCAAGTTATAGCCAGGGGCGCCGCCACGGATTTTTGACTGGGGGGGACGGACTGACCGTCTGAAAACCCAAAAGTAGGCATTCTTACCGTGGCTTTTTCGGTCCGATGCATTCAAAGTTTAAAGCAAATATGCCACTTTTAACATTGGGTTTTGAACTTAAGTAACAGTTTTGTAGCCTGAGCTGAGACGAGAACAAATCAGGAGCTTTTATGGCTCAACGATCACCCTATATCGGTATCGATTTTAGGTTTGAAGACTGAAGTCATTCCCATAATTACACTTTGTCATTCCCTTACCGAGGAATCCATTCCCTTACGGAAAATGCCAGCCAATCAGCATTCAGCTGGTTTGAACTACGTACCTATAATCTATTTGGTCAACGCGTAATCAGCTTCCGCTGCAATATAGGTAAGGCCTCTACGAAAGACGAAAATTGGTTCTTATGTAAAAATAAAAAAATCATTTTGCAAATACTCATTATGTTATTTCCTGACCATTTTAAGCATAAAAACTCATAAACCTGTGGCAAAACAACTGGTTTGAGGAAAGTAGTTTAGGT